TATCGGAATCAACAAGTGAATCAACCAAACTTCCAGCAATACAGGCAGCCCTATCCTCCTAGACAACAACAGGACCAAACTTCAAATTCAGGTATGCCTTTAAAAGATATTGTTAAGTTTCTTGTTACTAACACTTTGCAATTCCAACAGGAAACAAGGGCAAGTATTAAAATTTTGGAAAATCAAATAGGTCAAATGGCAACCACAATCAACAGGCTGGAAGCACAAGATTTGAGAAAATTACCCTCTCAAACAATGGTCAATCCAAGGAAAAATGTAAGTGCAATCTTGTTGAGGAGTGATAAGGAAGTTGAAATATCAAGGGCAACCCTTATATCATTGGAGCAGGAAAAGGAGAAAGATGTCCTTGAAGAGAAGAGTGATCCTAACGACAATAGCGTACCTAAGCGTAAGTTTCCAGCTCTTTCTGATTATAAACCGGTACCCCCTTTCCCTCAGGTTTTAGTAGGATATAGGAAAGATGAGCAAGATCATGAGCTTTATGATACTTTTGGTAGATGCGAGATAAATATTTCACTTATAGATGCTATTAAACAAATACCTCCTTATGATAAATTTTTGAAACATTTGTGCAAGAGTAAGAGGAAACAAAAACTCAAGGGATGTGAAAAGGTAAACATTAGGGAGAATGTCTTTGTAATTATTCAAAGAAAAATCCCCACGAAGTGTACAGACCTAGTTATGTTTACTATCCTTCGTACGATAGGTGACACTAACTTTGAAAAAGCCATGATAGATTCAGGAGCTTCTATTAATATCATGTCATATTCTATATACGCTTCTTTGAAACTTGGATCTTTAAATGAAACGGGTGTTGCGATCCAACTAGCTAATAAATCTAATGCCTATCCTAAGGTTTTAGTTGAGGACATTCTTGTGAGAGTTAATTATTTGATTTTTCCCACTAATTTTTATGTGCTTGATATGGGTAATAGTGATCAAACTAACATCTAAAGCTAAAATATACTTTTATAGTGGCATGCTTACCATGATAAAATAAGTGAATTTAACATTTATGATGCCATGAAACATCCTGATGAAACTAGCCTTGTTTATTTTATTAAAGTGATCGATCATTTAGATCAGAAAATTTTAGAACATGATAAAAACAATGCAGTGAAAGTTGTCATTGATAAGCATATTGAGGAGGTAGATCAGGAGTTACCCCCAAATACTACCTTGTAGGAAACCGTTGTAGCATTGAATGCTTCTCTAAAGTCAGGTAAAAGTTTGCATAGTGTTTTGTCAATTTCTAACAAGAGACATTTCTATGCAGGTTTCCAAATAGTGGAGGTGAGAACA